TGGGACCTTGGAAGATTGGGACCTTGGGAGATTGGGACCTTGGGAGATTGGGACCTTGGGAGATTGGGACCTTGGGAGATTGGGACCTTGGGAGATTGGGACCTTGGGAGATTGGGACCTTGGGAGATTGGGACCTTGGGAGATTGGGACCTTGGGAGATTGGGACCTTGGGAGATTGGGACCTTGGGAGATTGGGACCTTGGGAGATTGGGACCTTGGGAGATTGGGACCTTGGGAGATTGGAATTGGGAACTTGGAAAATTGGAACCTTGGGAGATTGGGACCTTGGGAGATTGGGGCCCTGAAAGATTGGGATCTTGGGAGATTGGGACTTTGGGAGTTTGGGACCTTGGGCGATTGGGACCTTGGGATATTGGGACCTCGGGAAATTGGAACCTTGGGAGATGGGGTCCTTAGGAAATTGGGACCTTGAGAAATTGGGACCTTGGAAAATCGGGACCTTCTTCAGCCAACAAACATTATAATACACAAAAAATTCCGTATAAACTCGCACGTAACCACGTTCATAACGCAAAGGGAAAAGTTTATCGCGCGTCTGAAAAGTTCGCATCGCAAGCAACAGCCTCGAAACGTTCTCCCTTCGTACTCTGTGATCTCTCAACATCCGTCAGGACTTTATTCTCGCCGGATCCTCGCGTCGTAGCCCGCCTAAGCAATTGTCCCAACCTTATGAATAAAGTAAGAAGTTTCGTCGCACACGTGCGCCCCACAGCACCGTCTCAACCACCATTTTCAACGACGACGGCATTAAGTTTCTTCTTGGGACGCGAGACACCGGGCACCATGTTGCGTTATGGGTATCAAGCCACATATAAAACGGTATTAACGCTTCCCCTTGTATGACTGTGTGTTAGACTTTAGCAGATGCTTACAGCGATGATGCCACTGTTTATGGCCGATTTAGATGGACGGTTACGGCTGTTTACGTTTTGGGATTCTTTATGTTTTATGTTCGTTTTAGGGTTAGCTCTTTTGAGGTTTGTGACGTCGTTTCGGGAGATCATGCATAATAAATGTAACAAGATCTTGCAAAAATATTTGGCAAAATTTGGTAAAAATACTTAAAACAATTTTTAACTACTTCAGTATATTGTCTCTCGTTATATTGCCACCTTGATGTTCCGTGTTTAAAAATGAATCAATCAATGCTATAAAAAACTTAAATTCTTTGGCAAACTTTGTTAAAAATACCTAATACAATTTCCAACTACTTCAGTATATTGTCTCTCGTTATATTGCCACCTTGATGTTCCGTGTTTAAAAATGAATCAATCAATGCTATAAAGAACTTAAATTCTTTGGCAAAATTTGTTAAAAATACCTAATACAATTTGCAACTTCTTCAGTATATTGTCTCTCGTTATATTGCCACCTTGATATTCTGTGTTTAAAAATGAATTAATCAATTCTATCGAGAACCTAAATGTATATACGTAATGCTAGGATATTCCGGGAAATTTTGAGGTTAGTTTCGGTTAGTTAAGGGTGCTCCACAAGAGAGTCCACTCGACCTTAAGACTCGCGGTCAGCGGTCATACGCAAAGTGGACGATACGCCTTTGTCGGGTCACATTGTCATTGAAATCGTTCAATTGGCCCCGTAAAAGCGAAAGGAAGGAAGGAAAGGAGTTGCGTAATTTCCGGTGGCGAAAATGGCAGGCGGAGAGAAAGAGAAATGGGGAGGCATCCTAAGGGACGGCTGCAACCCTCGTAATCCCGTGACAGAAAGCCTCGTTTAATATTTATGATTTATTTCGGTTTAATTCGACGTGCAAACAGGAGGCGCATTTACATTCGGCGATATTTGCACGTTAAATCACCGGACGCTTTCGACGCGGAACCTGATTAACGAACTATGAAAAGTTTTAATGAGCATCCTCTCTCGGTTTGGTAAATTCAGCAAAAGATGGGGGTGATGGGTTATTTAGTTTAAAGGAGAGGAGAAATAATTTTTGGGGATCAAGTATTGTTTTTCGAGGTCTCAGTTTTACACAGTAGAAATATCCTGAGGTCCCAATTTTCCAGGGACCCGATTTCCCAAATTTCCAATTTCCCAAGCTCCCAATTTCCCTAGGTCCCACTCTCCCAAGGTCCCACTCTCCCAGAGTCCCAATTTCCAAAGGTCCTATTCTCCCAAGGTCCCAATTTCCCAAGGTCCCAATTTCCCAAGGTCCCAATTTCCCAAGGTCCCACTCTCTGAAGGTCCCACTCTCCCAGAGTCTCAATTTCCCAACGTCCCACTCTCCCAAGGTCCCAATTTCCCAAAGTCCCACTCTCCCAGAGTCCCAATTTCCCAACGTCCCATTCTCCCAAAATCCTACTCTCCCAGAGTCCCACTTTCCAAAGGTCCCACTCTCCCAAGGTCCCAATTTCCCAAGCTCCCACTCTCCCAAGGTCCCACTCTCCCAGAGTCCCAATTTCCCAAGGTCCCACTCTCCCAAGGTCCCACTCTCCCAAGGTCTCACTCTCTCAAGGTCCCAATTTCCCAAGGTCCCACTCTCCCAAGGTCCCATTCTCTCAAGGTCCCAATTTCCCAATGTCCCACTCTCTCAAGGTCCCACTCTCCCAAGGTCCCAATTTCCCAACGTCCCACTCTCTCAAGGTCCCACTCTCCCAATGTCCCACTCTCTCAAGGTCCCAATTTCCCAAGGTCCCACTCTCCCAAGGTCCCATTTTCCCAAGGTCCAAATTTTCTAACGTCCCAATTTCCCAAAGTCCCATCTTCCCAAAGTCCCAATTTCCAAAAGTCCCAATTTCCCAAAGTCCCAATTTCCAAAAGTCCCAACTCCCAAAAAAACATTTCCACCAATAAATACATAAAAAAATGAATTTTAACCCAAAGTAATAATTTCTTAATAAAATAGTAAAGTTTTAAAAAAGTTTGTCCACTCAGCACTAAAAATAACGAAACAAGTAAAGATATCGGATAACGAAATAGAAACGATCGTCGCAAGAGAACCGTGAAATCAGCAGCTGGTGCGATTGTAGAAAGTAGCAATAACGAGGGACGTCGACAAACGGCGATAAATTTCAGCGACATCGTAGTCACGTTTTACAAGCGAAGACGGTATCCGCAGGATCGTCATCGTCATTGTTCCAGCGACAATGGACGATAGAAATGCCTTCACCCTCGTATCCGGTTCCTTGCGAACGCTAGGGGAGAGAATTGCCCCCGGTATTAACTCGCGTAATTGAGATTTATTAATCCGGAGGCCGGTTGGTGGCTAACCTCTAAGCGCATCACTCCTTTTTCCTACCTCCTACGCTGCTAACTTTATTATTACGGAATATGAATTCGAGCGATAAGATTATCTGCGTTGTGTTGTCGAACAATGGAGGATGTTCATTTTCTTGGAACAATGTTATGTTGAACAGGGTATTTGAGCTTGTTAGGTTGGTTAACATTATATGACTTAACCTAAAAACTGTACTGAATTTTAAATAGACTTGTTTAAGCAGTATGCAAACATTAGAGCAATACAATATTATTAATAATAGTACATAAACATTAGAGCAATACAATATTATTAATAATAGTACATAAACATTATAGCAACAATACATTATTAATAATAGTAAAGAAACACATTATTATTAATGATAGTACATAAACATTAGAGCAATACAATATTATTAATAATAGTACATAAACATTATAGCAACAATACATTATTAATAATAGTAAAAAAACATTATAGCAACAAAGAAAAATTAATAATAATATAAAAACAGTATAACAATGCTTAATAGTATTATACAACAACATTACAATGTTACAATGTTGCAAAATTACAATTGTTAATATTAAATAATAATCACGTTAAATAATGTAATGTTCAAAATGAAAGACAAGTATCAAAAATTCATGATACAGTGTCGGTGGATGTCACGTGATTAAATCCAGTTTCTTAGCCAGGCTTAATCTAAATGAGACAATGCGATCCATCATCCAGCCGTTTAATGAAAATCGCGACCATAACTTAGGTCCTAAGATATCGAACAAGGAGGTAGAGGGTAACTCAGTCAAAGGTGGAAGTTGAACGCTTAATCCAGCAATATGAAACTCCCCTGTGGCTTCGCTTTGTCACAATTTCATCCCTAGCTATGTTATTTTACTACCTTAGGAATGGGCAGGAATAATATTACACCGTTTAAATTTCCACTCTACATGTTTAGAAACTTATTATTTTGTGATTGTTTAGGTTGGATAGTTTTTGATACTGGAAGCTGTCAAGTTTTGAAGGTGCTAAGTTTCTGAAGGTCCCAATTTCCCAAGGGTCTCATTTCCCAAGGGTCCCATTTCCCAAGGTCAAAATTTCCCAAGGGTCCCATTTTCCAAGATCAAAATTTCCCAAGGGTCCCATTTCCCAAGGTCACCATTTCCCAAGGGTCCCATTCCCCAAGGTTCCAATTTCCCAAAGGTCCCATTCCCCAAGGTTCCAATTTCCCAAGGGTCCCATTTCCCAAGGGTCCTATTTCCCAAGATCCCAATTTCCCAAAGGTCCCATTTCCCAAGATTCCAATTTTCCAGGGGTCCCATTTCCCAACGTCCCAATTTCCCAAGGATCCCATTTTCCCAGGGGTCCCATTTCCTAACGTCCCAATTTCCCAAGGGTCCCATTTTCCAACGTCCCAATTTCCCAAGATTCCACTTTCCCAAAATTCCAATATCCCAAGGTCCCAATTTCCAAAAGTCCCAATTTCCCACTCCCTCAATTTCTAAAAGTCCCAATTTCCCACTCCCCAATTTCCAAAAGTCCCAATTTCCCACTCCCCAATTTCCAAAAGTCCCAATTCCCCAATTCGCCATCACATCAAATTCCCAATTCCTCAACCGTCCAAATTCCCAACTTGAACTGTGACCCCCACCCACCATCACACCGAACGTGTTACACATCAAGATATCCTACTTCTTGTAGAAAGCAGATGTTAGTAAGAAACGGCCGGCAGTAAATAACAGTTCTATATTTATTGTTGCAGAGGGATGGCGAGACTCAGTGTTGGGGGCTTCCCGTCGTTTATTGGTGACTCTTGGCAGTCTCTCCAGGGACAGTTCGCCATGTCCTGCCCGGGTAAGTCACCACCACATTGTTTGTCTTGTGTCGGGTAAACTGGAAGGGACGTTGCTTTTGATATTTGCTTTTGCTTCGATTCCTCTGCGAAGAATTATATAAAGAACCCGTATCACGATATTCTTGAAGGAACCCTTTATAAACTTCCCTCTTCAATTTTTTATTGAATGTAATTAATCAAGTTTTCTTTCAATATTTTATTGACGTCTTTAATCAGTTTTTATTTATGAACAATGAAATGTACTTTACGATTGAATCCATTGGGTATTGATTAAATTGCTCAGGGATGGATTTCGAACTGTCAGCCATTTTGTATTTGTGGTGTTAACAAAATGGCGGAGTCAGCTTGTGTCAATTTTTAACTTTAAGTTGATGTGCTTTCTATGTTATTAAATTTATCAAACATTGATCAGTTTTGTACTGAAACAGTTTTCATGTAGTCGGCCATTTTGCTTTAATAGTGTTGATAAAATGGCGGTGGTACCTTCTGTCAATTTTTAACTTCACGTTGTTGTACTTTCTATGTGTTCAAACTAATCGAGCACCAGTCAGTTTTGAACTGAAACAGTTTTCATATAGTCGGCCATTTTGTTTTAGCATTGTTAACAAAATGGCGCAGTCACATTTTGTCAACTTTAAACTTCAAACTACCATATTTCTATGTTCTCAAATAAATCGAACATCAATCAATTGTAAACCGAAACAATTTTCGTACAGTCAGCCATTTTGTATTACAATCGTTAACAAAATGGCGCAGTCACCTTTAAACTTTAAACTACTTTCTGATTCTAATCACTTAAATTTTAATAATACCAAAGTGACTTTGTTTAATAATTCTTTCCACTACTTTAAATGATCGAAGAATATTTCTTCCCCCAGTGTACAAATGAACTTTGCAATTTGTACGAGCAAGTTTCGTAATTGAACTTTGAACTTTGGGGCTTGCAAAGTTTTAATTGAGATATCCAAGCAGTACGTGAATTTAATACACCTCGTTTAATTTTAAATTATACTGGAGTCGTAATTCAACCTTGTTAGAAGGGAAGAAGTATGTAGGCACTTTTTTTGAGAATCCACGAACTTTGTGCTATACGAGCTTGAACTTTGAACTTTTTAGGTTATGAACACTGAAGCTACATGCTTTGTAATTCTTTTACATTTTCATATTTCTAATAATTAGGTTTCTGTTCTTTGTATTATTCATTTACGATGGTATTGATTAGTTGATTGCAAATTACAAAATAAAATTATTTATTTAAAATTTCGTCAAGTGACGTAGTAAGTGTTTTTCTCACATCTTTATATATAATTTTGTTTTAAATCAAAACTACTTGATGGATTTTCATAAATGAGATGTCGATCGACTCGTTTTGACATCAGCAATGACACAGTTTATATAACAACGCAATGGCTGTCTTAATGTAAGAAAACAAGATGGAGGACGCTACGTCAAAAAACAAGATGGCGGACATTATATAAAACAAATATGGCATAATTAACATAATATTCAAAATGTTCTTGTTTCTTAATGCAGTTATTAATTTCTTTGGCTTTACGTAAGAAAACAAGATGGCGGACTCTATATAAAAACCAAAATGGCGGACATTACATAAAAAAATAAAAATGGAATAATTAATATAATATTCAAAATGTTCATGTTTCTTAATGAAGTTATTTATTCTAGCTTTATAACGTGATTTAATGAGGTGAGACGTTATTCGTCATTTTCTACACAAACATACTAAATGTAAGCGTTTCTCGCGGACGTCTTCGAGCGCGAAATACATAGACTTGCCACCTGAGGGTAGTCTCGATACTGAAATGTAAATCGAACCACCCTCGTGCATTTCGAATTGCCAAAAGCAAGGATCTACCCGACGCCTCCGGCTGAAATATGCAAATGACACGCAACGGCGTCAGATACGATCTCGTTACCACCGCGACAGAGGGTGGATAATATTTATCGCAGGGAGATCAAGGTCCACGATAGTCCTTCAACTCTGCAATTCCTGTAGCCTTTCATGTCTTTGTTACCCTTTGTTTTTCAAATTTTCTTCAACGAACGTGTTCAGCAGTATTTTCATTATGAAAGGATAAAAAAGAAACGGTTTTAACGTAGTATCTCGCGTTTGGTAAGTTGACTCTCGGGAGCATTATGATTCTATTGGTTCAGGTGCCTTCTTGTCGGACGCGTCCACTATATTATTCTTTACTATATTATTCTTGTTATTACTCGTTCTTTTGAAAGTCAATTAGTAACTTAATAGCTTGGATAAATAAATTCCGATCCTGTTGGTTCATCTGCCTTCTTGTCGGACGCGTGCACTAATCTCGAAGAAATTTTACTACATTATTCTTACTATTACTCGTTCTTTTGAAAGTCAGTTAGTAACTAATAGCTTGGATAAATAAATTGCGATCCTATATGTTCATTTGCCTTCTTGTCAGACGCAAACAAAATTAATCTCGAATTTTTACTACTTTTTTCTTCCCATTCCTCCCTTTGAAAATCAATTAGTAACTCAATAGCTCGTTTAAATCAATAAATAATTCCCATACAAAAAACCTGAAAGGTAATATTTAAAATTAACATCCATTTATAGCAAGCATCGATAAAAACCTGCATACAAAACACTAACACAAATTTCTCATGAGTACAAAAATAATTTTAAAATATAAATTAACACACCACCGTATAAACCTCCACATAAAATTCATAACAGAGAACATATAAAACCTCATTTCACCGTATCCTGCATTGGAATGATAAATCAGCCACAATGTATAGAAAGGCCGGAGGAAAGTTTCATTAAATGAAATTGCGCTGATTTGTGAGAAAAATTCAACGGCTGGCATTATTCGTCTGCAACGGCACTTAATTAGCGAGAGCAAATTAAGGCTGTATAGCGATAAATATGCATGGAGTAAAATTTCAATATCGTGGGAATTATGCGAATACATTGAATCCTTTAAAAACTTCCGGTGAACGCAGATAAAAACTTGCGGAAGTAATGATATTGGGAGTTTCTAATTCGAGTGTGTGGGATTAGAAGAGTGTTTAATGATGAGTTGGATGATGTAGGGAGTGTTGGTATTGGTTGGCTGTTTTATAGTTACATGGGATAGTGGGATAGTAGGGTGTTAGGACGCTAGGGTATGGGGTATGGGGATATGGGGATGTGGGGATATAGGGATATGGGGCTATGGAGTATGGGGATATGGGGGTATAGGGTATAGGGACATAGGTGTATAGGATATGTGGGTATAGGGTATGTGGATATAGGATATGTGGATATAGGATATGTGGGTATAGGGTGTGTGGGTATAGGGTATGTGGGTATAGGAGTATGTGGGTATAGGATATGTGGGTATAGGAGTATGTGGGTATAGGATATGTGGGTGTAGGAGTATGTGGGTATAGGATATGTGGGTATAGGATATGTGGGTATAGGGGTATGTGGGTACAGGATATGTGGGTATAGGGTATGTGGATATAGGAATATGTGGATATAGGATATGTGGGTATAGGGTATGTGGGTATAGGAGTATGTGGGTATAGGGTATGTGGGTATAGGGTATGTGGGTATAGGGTATGTGGGTATAGGGGTATGTAGGTATAGGGGATGTGGGTATAGGAATATGTGGGTATAGGAATATGTGACTATGGGGGTATGTGGGTATAGGATATGTGGATATAGGGTATGTGGATATAGGAGTATGTGGGTATAGGATATGTGGGTATAGGGTATGTGGGTATAGGGTATGTGGGTATAGAATATGTGGGTATAGGGTATGTGGGTATAGGGGTATGTAGGTATAGGGGATGTGGGTATAGGAATATGTGGGTATAGGAATATGTGACTATGGGGGTATGTGGGTATAGGATATGTGGATATAGGAGTATGTGGGTATAGAATATATGGGTATAGGTTATGTGAGTATAGGATGTGTGGGTATAGGTGATATCATACCATATCACCTCCAACATTACCAATTTTAAATCAAATATTACTACTACTACCTAATCAAGGTTAAGTTAACCTCATCTTCAGACCAATAGCACATCTTCAAGTCCTTCCAACAATCATCCGCCATATTTTGCATAGGAGCGCAACAAAAGAACATACCAAATCACACGAAGAGCATTCAAAAGCGAATAAGAGGAAATATATTCCTGAAAGTGTCACTTCCGATATTGCTTTTTATATTAGATTTCTCGCTCGTATTTCACCGTGGTTAAAGCGTTCTTTTGACGTTCTTTTGACTTTACGTGCCATCCTCGAGGATAAAACCTGGATGAGTGGATTGCCCTTTTTCCCCAGGATACGAATGATAAAGGGAGAGGGGAGAAAATGTGGTCGAGTAACAGAGGTAGAAACAGGGTGGGATACGTGACCGTAGGGGCCTCTGGTATCGATCAGCAAACCAGGTGTACCACGCCCAGCTATCAATTAACAACGATTCGGACGGACACATCGAACTTGTTTCAAACGGAGAATGATCCTTGTGTGCAGTTGCGTTATTGAAGACAAAATTATGTTTGTTCGTTATGTAGTTTAGTAACTGTGTTTGTAGGTACACATACGTACATATACATACGTGTATTCGTAGAGATGTATACATGTATGCACATATAGGTACAGTTCACATTCATACACACATACATATACACATATACACATAGATGTACACGTATGCACGCATATGTACCTTTCAAATTCATACACACATGCATATACACATATGCACATGAATGTACACATATGCATACATGAATGTTTATACATTGAATTATACATATGAATGTTTGTAGATTCATATGTGCACACATGTACACACATACGTACACACATGTGAATATATATGTTCACACACATACACTCATATGTACACACATGTGGACACATATGTGCAACACATATACACACATACGTACACACATGTGGACATATATGTGCAACACACATACGTACACATATGTAGACATATACATGCACACA